AACTTCAGAAATGTTGAACGGTTATTTTCGTTTTTGAAATGGGTATTTACCGATCGCCGGAAACGCTTAACCGCGGAACACTTAGGACAACTTTATTTTTTTTATGAGTAAGAAGTTATTATTTTTTTAAATTTTGCTGGTACTTATTATTACATATTATACCTAAGTATATATTTTATTATATGTTCCATTTTCTTATACTATTATGAAAACACTTACATACATATTCTTATAATGTAAAGAGTGCAGTTATAAGTAGGCAATGGTTGTGTCAATTTTTGTTCGAATAAAATTACATAAAAGAGAATCCGGCCTAAAGCCAACCCTGTACCACATTGCAGCCGCCCTAACATATCCTATCTCTAATAATAACACAGCATTAAATAAGCATAATAATCCAATATTGTCAAATAAAAAATATAAAAGAAAGCTATCAATCAATGTAAATAAAACAGAAAAAATAATTTTTATTTTTATGTTCGACGACTTTCGCGTTTAGTACTAGTGATTTAAATTGTTACATGAACTTTTACCTCAACGAACGCTTTTCACTAAAAGATTAATGTACCCCAGACAGTCTTACTTGGGAAGTTTCTGGAAAGATTCATGGAAAGTTTTTTATTCTCATGAGAATGCTTCACTAGGTAAAACTAATGAAAGATAAATTACATTTTGCGAAACCTGAATAACAGTGAATGGAATAAATAAAAAATAATAATAATTTAATTCACATAAAAAATCGCTTAAGATGTGCTTAAGTACAACTCGAAAGATTTCCTACCTTTTGATATTAAAAACATAATTGTTGCAAATGTTTTACGATTGGAGAAAAATTATAGATTAGAAACGATAGAAAAACTAATTAATTAATAAGTTATACCTTATTTTTAGAAGAGTAGCTTATTAAATATAAAATATTTATACCAAATTAAGACTTTAAATAAGTAGATTAATGTTAAAAAATACAGCTTATTTCAATCGTAATTTAACACAATGGGAAAATGACATACGTAATACGATCCATACGATAGAAAGTCAACGAAGGAAACATCACAATTTTTGTAAGGGATAAATATTACGTAACAAATAGGGGTACCTCATTATAAATTTTTTCCCGAAAAATAAGAAAAGTATCTTAAAAGTCACTATTCTCGGAAACAGCAAATTTTTTTTTCAAAAGTATAGGTACCTTTTTTACTTAGGGGTCAATATATATTTCAAAGAAATTTTAAAACGAGATATAATAAAAAATGTTTTGAATATAGTCACTATTAACTTATTTCTTATGTAACGTAAATAGTACTGGGCAAATTTCTCACCCTTATTGTCCATTTTCGAAATACAGTTTATAAATGCAATATCTATTCTAAAAATATAGAAGAAATATTTTGGACCACCTTATATAATATTGTAGACAAGGATTTAGATAAATTTGTTTTTCGTTATGAAATTTCTAACTATAAACACTTCGCTTCAACGTAAAGCCAGATTTTCTTCTCCACTGATAATAGCTTTTATTAAATATGGATATAGTGAACTTCAACCGTTCATAAAGTAACATTAATTTGTGGAGTACTAATTTAATCTGTTAATTTAAAGCTCAAACATTTCTGTAATACTTGACTCTACCATTATCGTCAAATAATACAGAAGAGATCAAAAGGATAAAGTATTCCCTAAAGTTGTCCGTTTCTTAAATTATGTAAATAGCACAAATGAACTTTTTAAGAAAATGTTTAACTTGTGGAGAATGTTGGCAGAAGGGGGCAGAATGTACATGAACGAAAGGAAAATCATTTTACCAGTCTTTACCAAAACATAACTCTTAAGCTGCTCTAACATAACTTTTTTACATTCTAGATATTTGGTAGGTACGTGAAGAAACTTCAAAATATATTCCTTGTTCCATTTTACGTCCAAAAGCCTTAATAAAGCAGAAGTTTAAAGATACTATAAAGTACGAGTATAAGCTTTTTGAGTGTACGTTAGTTTTGGGGTATAATAATTATGAAGTGATGGCAAGCATATTGGAGAGTTAACCTACTCAATAGAATCAACATTAAGATTTTTAGGGGTTGTTATGAGAAGTTTCCATTAAGTGGGTACCATGTGAGGTGCTAACGAAAATGCTATTCCATGCATATTCTTTATCGGGGTGTTTTTTTTTAATGGTGAAAACACAAGAATACTTGTGGACAGGACTTCTGTCAACTTGGAATATCAGAAATATACCAACAGTAGAGTTAGTGTTTGCCTCTGCAAGAAGAATGAGTATGGTTTAAACTCATACTAGCTGCACGTACAATATATCGCAACAATAATATAGAATATAGTAACTATAGTGCGCCCAAAGTTTTTTTTATGTTGTTTCAGTTGCGAGAATCATGAATTCAAGTTCTATAATGGTTTCATTGATTTTAATTAAAAAATTGATCAGATGTACTTATTTCTGGGGATTAGTTTGACGAACACTTCACAACTGGCGATAATAAAATAAATTCTATAGTTTTGTTTTAAGCACTAGTTACTTCTAAATTAAACATTTTAATTAGGCTTGAGTATATTGTTATGAAATATATAATTTTGTGTCAAAGTTGTGTTGTGTTTAAATAATATTTATTTTTGCCCGAGTTGTTTTTGTTGTGTGGTGTGTTGTGTTATTTTATTTTGTTTGTGTAAATGGTATTTATGAAATACAAACCGTTCTTTGTCTCACCCTGTACTTTACCTTTTCCCTTGCCAGCTAAAATGTTAGATGCTTGTTTTACTATTTTCGATCTCAGGAGTCGGTTCTATTGATTTTTATACACAAATACAATGCAACACAAAAAAAAATAGATTTTAAACTTTAATACAATTTTATTAAACAAATTTTGTTGTGGGTTGACTCATAACTTAAATTGTAGCTCAAATTATAAATACCTTTTTTAACACTAATAAAAAATATTTTTATCAATTTTGTAGTCTTATCTAATTTAGCACAATCAAATACAATACAAAAAAAATTGTTTTTAAATAAAAAAGTTTTAACTCTATAAGCAATTACTTTTAATTAGTCAATTCTTAACATGTATTGTATTTTGCCTATCTGATAGGGCATAATCTCTTTTTGACATACAATTCTAGTCCAATTAAATATGGCCGTTGTATTGATAATTTAGATCGATCTCAAGAGTTTTGTAAAGTTTTTTGGAATTATGATTGTTGGGCTTGATTTAATTTTAGTCAGGTAAGTTCTTTAATTTATTCTGCATCTTTTAACTATGGTTTGATGCGATAGAAAAATATTATTGATAGGATATAGCTATATGTTTGTTTTTAGTGCACTTTAAATTTTATTTTAGGTACCTGATTTTCGCTAGCTTGTACTTCTTCCTTATTGGAAACTGCATAGATGTTCAGCATACCATTTATGGGGCCATTGGAAACCTCTCTGTACTCGCTCACAACTGGTACAGGAATTTTTTTTTCGATGGTAAATTTCTTTCTTGTGTTTTTTGATAAAACACACAAACTTTTAACTTTTATGGTAAGTTTAATTTTCTTACTTGACTATTCTTTCTTTAACAAATTTAAATTTTGTGGAGCTGCTTCTTTACTCTCTGCATTTTCCAAAACCCAAGCCGTAACCAATCAACAAACTTTTGTTTCTCATCCTTCTAGAATTTTCTGGTTTTAATTTTTTTTAAGGTCTCTTCACAGAATTTCTAGTCCTTGGATGTCCTTTTTTTTACAACACTTTTCACTAGACTCCTTATAACTAATACATTTTTTTCAATGTCCTTTTAATTTAACAAACAATTCTATCACTAGTTATTAAAATATTCTTTATTTTATGTTCTTTTTCTAGGTTATCTCCAGGTACTTGTAAAGCCAACTTTAGTTTTGACATTTGATAACAATTATATAATTTAATTTGACATTTGATAAAAAATTTCATATATGACTTCAGTTCATTTAAGATATCTTCTCTACAGTTACTCGTCTACCCAAAATATGCATTTCAGATTCATCTATGGATATTGGGCTTTTATTTGATATATGTCACTCTGGGTTTAAATTCTGTTTTCTCACTGTACTGAATTTGAGAATTAAATTAAAATTATTAATTTTATACTATGTGATATTCTTTAATTGATACTTATTATATATTCAGAATCTTTATATTAACAATTTTATGCTATTTTATTGTTTGCTATATTAATAATTAATTTTTATTTATGATCCAAAGTTCGGTCAGGTAATTTTCATTCGTGATTCTTTGTGTACAAATCCAATTCGTTACAATATATATAAACCAAGTAGATATAGTAGTCCTAATTCACTCCACTACTAGTTGGTTAGTGGTGTTTACTGTACTCTTGAGCTTTGTCGAAAATTGAAAGCCTGCAATTTCAGGACTAGGATCATTGAGCGAGTGACCCTATTCTGCAGTGTCACTTCATTTACTGGATGCTGTATAGTCGAGTTTCCATTTTGTTCTGTGTATAGTATCAGTATATATACACATATATTTTCTAAATAGTGTCAACAGAATCTCATGTTTAGCGGTTTATTTCTATGATAAAATAAACATTCTGTACCTCAGAGAAAAGTACAGGGTAATCGATATATTTTAAAATATGCATATTTCTTGAAAATCATTTGGGTGTTATATTTTTAGTGTCACTCAAATGGTTCTATGGACTTTTTTCTCGGAAATATAGGTACCTATCTTTTCATACTACTGCAAAAATCTTTTAATTGAATTGCTATTTCCTGTTTAGCGTATCTTTATAGTTTACACATTCTCTTTGAAAATAACAGTTGAAGATCGCATTATATAAATTTTCGATCCACATATGCGGAAAATCGATGGAATTAAAGAAGTGTTTATTCGAAGCATTTCCATATCATACTTCACAAATGTTTTAGTAAAGATATTTTCAAAACGCTCTTCAACATTTTTTATTATAATATACTATTGTGGAGTGATTGCATTTGTAGTAATTTTGACTTACCTTATAGCATACGCAAAAGCCAAAACAGCATCAGAAACGAACTGCAGCTGATCTTCAAAAATTGTATTGTGCTCTGTGAGTTTTTCTCTTCTGGTGCACATTTTGGAGTATTTGATATTGTATGGGGTCCTAGAGCTGTTAGGGTATTTACACTGAAAGTGATGTTCCCAAAACTCTGAAAAAGAGAAATGGGAATAAAATAATTGTCCATGTTTCACATATAGTTAAATTGAGGAGGATTAAAATTTGTTTTTATAATTAGAACTAACTATAAAATTTGTACAGGCTAATTTATTTGAATGTGACACATAACATTCTAGCCTCTTATCTTTTTTACTTTCTTAGAAATATAAGGTGCGGGCCAAAATTGTAAAAAATTTTCTTGTGTGTAAAACTGTACCTCCTTAAGAACACAATTGAAAGTTGCATTTCATAAGGGGGGAGGAGAGAATGTTATGTGAATAACCCTGTATATTAATTACCGTAAATCGTATTGCATTGCGTTACTGGAAAATGCAATAGTTTCCAGTACAGCACTATTCGCGACTTGATTATTATGTTATGATATTTGTTGGATTTATATTATTACATCCTAATATATCATTATAAATTTTAATACTGTAGTTCAATGATGATGTATTTAGTAGTCTGTATTCATACAAAGGATGGCTGATGTAATGTTCTGTATCACAATGTTGTTATAGTAATAGATAAGTAAAATAAGTTTTACAAGTTTTGAATATCCATTCTATATTTTGTGTATAATTTTTTTGCTTTGATGGTGCTACTAAAGCATCAAATATAAGATACAATTTACATCTCCCTGTACTAAATTGTAGTTAGTTAAATAGTTTTAGTTTTTCTATTGCCACAAAAACTAAAAATTGTACGACCACATTCAGAATTCATTACCTCATATTTCCAATTCAAATCTCGTAGTTATTTTATCAGAAAAATATAAGAAGAAGTTTGAGACAAAAATTTATTGAAAATATTCATTACCCTTGGGATGCCCTTGCCTAGTCTAATAAGTTAAATATTATATTGAAGAAGCAGTCCAATGATAATAAATTAAAAGAGAGAAAAGTCTATTTTAAATATTCATTAACTGTAAATCCTAGCGCCTACTGGAAATACAGTATATTTCACCGACAGCAATATATCATTGCGGTTTATTTCCCACAAAAAAGATTTGATTTTATTTCCATTAATTAAAGATTTAATTAAACAGAACTTAATTTCTGAAAAGTCTACTGTATTTTAGTTTGGATATAAATCGTGTAGTATTATATCACATTTTATTTAAATAAAAATAAATTTATAAGCAAAACAGTTTTAAACATACTCCAATGGTATAGACTAAAGTCACTAATAAAGTATGCACCTACTTTTTACTAAAAGATTAGATAAAAAACTAGTAACAACAATTCCCAGGTTTACAAAAACCGCACTGTATCCTTATGTGTTCTATTATTATGAAAACTGGATACAATTGTAATTTATCCTGTATCATCTTATCTATAATTAATTTAATATCATTAAACTGTTTTTTAAGGTCTTTCATAATGAGGTGTTCACATAAAGAAAATGTATAGTGCTTTGTCACTAAATATGATTACGATGAAAGTTAATTTCGCTAATAACTCTTTATATAAATTTCTATTTGATTTTAGAAATATCTGTTTAAATTATATACCATTATCGTCATCTTTGTAATGTTCAATTTTTAATGTAAGATGCAATTGTATCATTGAAATTAAATGACCATATCGAACTATCCCTCGTATGTTCTTTCTTCTAGGACAGATTGTGGAAGGGAACGAATTTTCAGTATGATATAGGCATATACATAATATGTTAAAAGAAAAAAAACAACTGTTTTGTACCAATCAGTTACTCCCTATCGACAGCTAACCAGATTATTTTATCTGTGCCGCACCTGCTGCGTTTAGAGAATGAGAACCTGTTACATTTTTTTCTTTTGTACGATAGTACATGGGGAAGCGGGTTTTTATAATATTTAAAAGCAAACTAACCATCTTAACTGGAGAGCCTAGCTGGCCTTATTGTAGTTGTTTAACTATCTTGCCCGCAAACTTTTGTGTGCAGAATATTTATAATATTGCGAGGTTGTCTTAAATATGATTTAGACGTTTTTTTTGCTCTGAGTCTATGGAATATAATGATGGTTTTCAAACCTCTTAAATGGAGTGGAAAGTATAGTCGAAAATACTGTAGTTGTTTTAACTACTTTATTTATTCTGTATTTGCAGTCCGATTGCTTTAACTGATTCAATGCAGCATAGTCGTATAGATTTTTGTTTTCGAATTCCATGGAATATGTAGAGAGTGGTTTTTCTTCATACAAGCTACCATTTAGTAGTTACTTTAACTAGTTCCCGTAAACTCGTTTTAGATATTTGGGCATAATCGTAGTGGTATTTCTTCCTTGTCTATATCACGATATACACGCAGATTTTCATTTTACTTAAAATCTAAACATTTACAACTATCCAACACAGATGAACGAAGATGCGAAAAATAATTGTAATATTCGATGAAGGAAGATGTAAGGAAGATCAGTCTCAGTTATTCGAGAATCCTAGCTCTTCTATGACGGGGTCCTCCCGCCACTTTTCTTTTTAAACAACAGCGAGATTGGTTCGGTCACAAAATGAACTAAGGGGTGTCCCAAAAGAAACGCAGGATTTCATATGAGGAAAAAAGCTTTTATTAATGACAAGATGATATCGGACAGATTCGTTTGGCATAACAGACTTCTGTTAAGAAAATTCTATATCACATTTTCGCATACCTGCGGCTGAATTTCGTTGATAACTCTCCAAATTTTTGTCTTGAATTCAGGAATGGTAATCATTTGAACAGAATAAACTTTCTACTTTACGAGTACCCCACAGGAAATAGTAAGATCGCCATGATCTTGATGATCAATTCTCTTCACCGTTATACGTGATGAGTATTCCATTCAATTTTTGCCGTAACAAGTGTATAGCTTCACGTGCCATATGGCAGGTGACACCATCCTGCTGTATAACTACCTGTTACCCAACTCCATGCCATCCAAATGAGTCCTAAAAAGTTCAATAACATATCTCGACAGTCATTGCGGTTCAAGTCTCATTTTCAAAAAAGAACAGACCAATCACCACCAGCGTAAAATCCATACCACACTGTCACTCTTTGGGTATAGAGTGGTCGTTTTTTAATGACGCGAGGATTGTCTCTGTGCCAAATTCGACAGTTTTGCTTGTTCACATACCCACTAAGAAGGAAATGCACCTGGTCGCTAAAGATGATTTTCCTAGCAAAATCACCGCTCGTTTGTTGATTCTCCAAACAACTTCCAATTAACGAATATCCGACGCATTAATGGTCGTCTGGTTTTAATTTCTGGGTTAGTTGAATCTTGAAGGGATGCGGATGCAAATCTTTTGTTAAAATCCGCTGCATAGTACTTTTTGTTTGATTACAGTGACCGATGGAGCACTGATGTTACGGAATTTCCGCCACTCACCGCAGCAATATATTCGGCTGTACGGCCACTACGAGGCCGACCTCTTTTTTTATTGTCTGCAACCAAACCTGTTTGTTCAAATTTAGCAACTAATTTTTCACAGCTGTTTCATTCGGGGCATTCCTTCTACTGAAAATTCCACGTAATTTGCTCATGGTCTCAGCTACATACTCTCCATACTTGTAATGAATTTTAACAATCTTCATTCGCTCATCCTTCGTATCGCGCTCCATTTTGTCTAACCGCAACGTGTTTAATTCAACATGTGACCCTGCACAATGCTGCCAACTTTTCGGAATGAAAATGGTCCACAATTCAATTCCTGAGTTACTTTGAGACACTCTATCAATAGGGAGCGACGTATTTTTACGAAACAGTTTTTTCTTTTAACGTCTGTATATGCGTCATACTGAAATAAAACCTACCAGTATCCATTATAGAAGAACCTTGATGCTCAAACAATTGATATTGAACTTAGTTACAGTTAAGTCGATCAAATTTTACTTTTCTTTCTACTTCCCTTTTCTAGATATTAAGTACCACCTGCCTTTTATAAACTTAAACACGGTTACACTTTTGAAAGGAAACAATACTAGTTAAATTAATAAAGGGATTAAAGAGCAGTGCATTCTATTTATCAAAATAAGTCGAAAGTTTTTATTTTAAAATAATTTTTTCTATCTTATTTTGTTAAGTATGGAAAATTATTTTAGATGTTTAAACGGTGAAACCATGTCTACAACATACCAGGTAACTCATTATGGACAGTCCACTTTTCTGAACGGAAAAAATAATATGTATTCAACCGATGATGGCTTAAATTAGCAATTAAGGTGAACTGTATCGACGTATATGCACGTCTCACGATTGATATTGGAATATGTGAGGTGCGAATTTCAGTCTACAAAAAGTGATGTATGTGACCATTCCATACATAAATTTAAATAATAATAATTTAAATAATAAAAATAAATAAATATGGTGTTTCAAATCCATTCATATTTCCACAAGGTAATTCACTTTTATATTCAACATCTTTTAGCGATCAAGTGTTTACTGTAAAATTTTTTAAATATACTCAGAGAACACCTGATTATTGGTATTAACTTAAATCATTAGTCTAACTTTAATTTGAATCTCGAACAGTCAAATATGTGTGTTATATTTGAGTAAGTCTACAAATAGACCAAGCGGTATCTGTTTTGGCTTGGGTGAATCGTATATCCACGGAGATTTTTGGATTTTTGGCTTTCAAATATCACTAGAAATAAAAATTTTTCTATGCGCATAAAAAAAAACGTGGGCTTAACTTTTGACGGCACGATATGTTAAAAAAATTGGAAAAATGTCATATTTTTCTTCCTATTTAATTATGTATCTTTTTAAGAGTTGATTTTAGGCGAAAATGGAAGAGGAAAAAAATGTTTGTAATTAAATTTTTTATAATACATGACTGGTTACAAATCGAATGAATCATGATTATTATGGTAAAAATCGAAAAAATCACAAAAATGGGGTTAAAAAACAATACTTTTTAGGGAATTTTTTTGGGGTATTTAAATTGGGTATAGGACCTTTATACTTGGCTCAAGAAAACTTCATGTTATGTAGAATCATCACACCAAATTTCATCAAAATCGGTTCGATAGATTTTGCATAATAATTTTGCAATCCAGATTTTGAAAAAAAAATTGCAAATTTTCAAAATTTTGCACAGCAAAAACCAAGGCCCTTAGATACTTGAAAATTTAATCACATATAGAAGGGCTCTCAAGCTTTCAAACTTTTTTTGAAAAATTCGAATCCGTCAATTAGGAGAGCTCTGGCGCTTGTTTAAACATTGGTCGAATTTTTGTACTTATAAACAATTAGAACTTTGTGAATATTCAATCAAATCAAATTTTTTAAAGCAGGTTTTAAAAGTTCTTGGAAAGACGCTTTTTTAAAAAAAAACAGATCGATTGATCAATTAGTTACGTAGTTATAGCCGATTCAATTTCGAGCAGGCCGAAGCGGCCGCGCTCTCTGCTTCCCCCACCACCACCACCCGTACGATTTTATTGAATTTCTCGCTTGCATAAATAACTTTAAACACGTTTTAAAGTAGGTTGCCAATGAAGAAAAGTATTGTAATCTTAGACCTGGTAAGTACTCGGAATACCAAAGGTATTTTTCGAAAAATTAGCCCGGATGTCCCAGTACATTTAGTGTAAATGACGGCTATAACTACGTAACTAATTGATCAATCGATCTGTTTTTTTTTTAAAGAAGCGTCTTTCCAAGAACTTTTAAAACCTGCTTTAAAAAATTTGATTTGATTGAATATTCACAAAGTTATTCTAATTGTTTATAAGTACAAAAATTCGACCAATGTTTAAACAAGCGCCAGAGCTCTCCTAATTGACGGATTCGAATTTTTCAAAAAAAGTTTGAAAGCTTGAGAGCCCTTCTATATGTGATTAAATTTTCAAGTATCTAAGGGCCTTGGTTTTTGCTGTGCAAAATTTTGAAAATTTGCAATTTTTTTTTCAAAATCTGGATTGCAAAATTATTATGCAAAATCTATCGAACCGATTTTGATGAAATTTGGTGTGATAATTCTACATAACATGAAGTTTTTTTGAGCCAAGTATAAAGGTCCTATACCCAATTTAAATACCCCAAAAAAATTCCCTAAAAAGTATTGTTTTTTAACCCCATTTTTGCGATTTTTTCGATTTTTACCATAATAATCATGATTCATTCGATTTGTAACTAGTCATGTTTTGTAAAAAATTTAATTACAAACATTTTTTTCCTCTTCCATTTTCGCCTAAAATCAACTCTTGAAAAGATACATAATTAAATAGGAAGAAAAATATGACATTTTTCCAATTTTTTTAACATATTGTGCCGCCAAAAGTTAAGCCCACGTTTTTTTTATGCGCATAGAAAAATTTTCATTTCAAGTGATATTTGAAAGCCAAAAAGCCAAAAATCTCCATGGATATACGATTCACCCAAATATGGCTTTTTGAAACAGATACCGTCTGGACTAAAAGACAGAAACTGAATATCAGTATTTATGATTTTATTTCTATATTTTTTTATACACATTCAGGAAATTGTAGCTAGTAAAATTTTAAATCAATTTGGTAAACATACCGTGGATTAAAGTTAATATATTGATATGTTACACATTAATTCGTCTAGGCATTTATGGTGAGGTCAAATTCTGTTGAGGCATGTTACGATGAAGTGCCTGCCGCCAGGGTTGGAGGATAATGTGTTTCAACAGATAACGTCCTATACATGCTCGATAGGGGAAAGATCTGGCGATGTTGATGGCTGGAGCAAAGGATTCATTGATTGTAGCATGCTCAAGGTAGTTCAGTGTTAATCTTGCTACATATAGACGTGCATTATATTATTAAAAAATTGGATTTGTCGTCTTAATGATGAAAAGGTATTCCAGAACATCTCGTAGACAGACATAAGTAAGTATTCCTAATGAAAACTACAGGAGATTTTCTGCTACAAGCAGCACCATAACATTCCTTTCCATAACAAAAAAAAGTACGTCTTCTCACAGGAAAATGAGTGCATATACACCTAAACAAGCGGGATTCGATGACAAGTAGACAGTAGGTGTCTTTTTTAACATTTAATTAGTATCTTACTACGGCCACTAAAATCTTTAGATCTTTGTGCTATTGAACATGTGTAGGGCATAGTCCTTTTAAAATGAATAACGTATTTGTGGAGTTTTTAAAAATTCATAACATAAATATGGCGCAAGGTCACAGGATAATCTAATGTGTTACTAATATTATTACTACTTTAATAATCGAAAATATTCAGATTATAAAGTATGAAAGTAAAGTATAGATTTAGAAAATAAAAGAAACTTTGAGTGGCAGATTTATAAATATTAGTAAACCAAAAAATTTGAGAATTTATTAAGAAAATAAATATCTGCGTATGTTCTGGATATTATCAAATATGTACTAAGACTGTTTTTATCTCACTCATTTAAAACGGTTTTTTTCTAGATTTCTTTTCACACTCTACATTTCCAATATGCTCAAAGATTTCTTTTGTAAGTTAGAGATTCTTCACACTTTAATTGATTTTTAATTAATTTTCATTTTTTTAAATAAATTACAAAAAATGTGTTTTGTTTTTGAGTCGTTATATCTCAGTAAGCTTTTTGCTATAATAACTATAAATAATCGAAAGCTTTAATTATTAAAAAATTATAATTTGAAAACATTGATATTGAGGACAGTACCAAGGGTAAAGCTATGATAGAAGAAGGGATATAATCTATATGTATATACCATGAGTCAGTGGCGATTTTACCATAAGAGCTGCGGAGCTGCAGAACACATAAAAGTTTATGTATTTAATCATATTAAATATCAACAAAATATTTAAAGAATCCAAATGTACTCGCGCTAAAATAAATCTAGGAGCTTATATTATTATTTATTGCGGCGCGAGCTACGCTCCTTAATATATGCAACCTCATATACCAAATCTGTGCACAGCGAACAATTAGATGCGTCCTTTGTTTTTATTGGCTAATCAGGCACGTGACCCAGTACACGAAGATATGGGTTTTTGCGGCTGCAACAGCGACAGCCACTGTTGCAGGCTGCAGTAAATGCAGTAATATTTCGTACGTGGTATGTGGTGGTTTATTTCTGCGAACGGCACGTGTGAATATTTTCGTTTAGGCGTCTACGGATATTATAGTTATTAAAATCAATAGCGTTTCGTTTTAAAAAAAACTTTATTTGGTTCTCTGCCTTATGAGATAAACTAAAAATAAAAGAATTAGGTGGGCCAACACCGCAATTAAATTTTGAAGTTAGTGGAACAAGCCGAAGTAAAAGTTATAAAAGACAATTTAACACTAATGTATACACAGAAGCAGAGTGGGTGTGCGGGTGTGATTTAAAAAATACACTGTTTTGTTTTCCGTGCTAACTTTTCGGTGGGGATAAAGCATGGACAATGCAGTGTGAAAGATTTAAGTCATTTAAGTCTTTAGGTAAAATAAACATAAGAAGTAAGTTAGATTCTGCATACCTATTGGGATAATATACGGAAACACAATGAACAGGTAACGAAAAATCGTTATGTATTATCTAAAATCATAGATTGCATAAAATTTTGCGGAGCTTTCGAATTAGCATTTCGCGGACACGACGAGACAGAAAATTCGGACAACCCTGATGTGTTTCGTGGACTCATAAATTTTAGTGCAGATCTTGACGACATATTAAAAGAACATCTAGCCACATGGGTATGACCGGGATTTTCTGTGATTGTACCGGGAATTAGCTGTATGGTCCCGGATTTCGGATTTGCACGTATAACTCCCGGAATATAATATAATGTACATATATATAAAAAAAGATAAAGAAAAAATCATAACACGCCGAGGAAAATTAAAATTCGTTGAATCGTTGGTAAATTTCACAAACGATTTTTTTTTTTAAACAATATTCAATAATTTAATAAAATATATTTAGTTTATTCCAATTTATTATACCATCAGTAGGTAATTCGTAAATGGATATTTCAAAAAGGTATCAATTTCAAAAATCATTCTTGTGAAAATCTGTATTTTTTTTATAAATTCATTGTTCCTTGAAATTCAGAAGTGCCAGGAAAACGCGTGACCTTGAAAATTTCAAAATTTTTCGCCTGCGGCGCCATTTAGAGACTCCAGGCACTTAATATCCCGGAATTCAATTAATTCAACAAATGTAACAACCCTAAGCAGAACACATTCAATCAATGTTCACGCACTGCCAATGCCATGAGAGGTATAACTATATACCATGTATAAGGGTCACACGTAATTAATGGAATGAGCATTATTAATTCCAATTTATAGAAAGTAGGAATATAGAAGATTACTTTTGGTGTAAATATCCTGTGAATCATTATGTAAAACATCAATTATCTTCATCTTTTATATAAACTTTTTCATCTAAAAACTCATCAATGGTTATTATCTCATTAAAGAATAATGAGCTCGTAAATGTCTTATGGGAAATCCTACATCGCCTTAAGGGTGAAATGTAATATCCTCGTAATATATGGATTATTCTTATACGCATGTATATCCCGGAAAATGAAAACACGAGGCAAACGAAACATGAAATCTAGTAATTTATATTTCATCCGAATTACAATTATAAGTCTCCGTATTCTCTCGTGGTAACCATAAGTAGGCGTATAATTAAACACACTGAATTTTAAAAGGCTTACCAACAAACCACGGATTCCTTGGATTATTCTCAACGTTGAGGGAGAGAAAATATTCCTTAAATCCTTTAACAGGGTTGGCTTGTGGTTGCACGGAGAGGGTTCCTTCTACCTCTGCTTCATTTCCCAGCGACACAATTGACCTGGCACTCCATCCGTCGGAGCCTATCCATGAAAATGCTCCGGTTGCATTGCATCTCCGCACTGCCTTCATTAACTCGGCCACTTCCTGGTCTGAACCGAAAATAATGCACCCTGAAACAATAAAAGTTCTATAAAGAGAAAGTTTATCTTTAGTTATTGAAATACAAGTGGATGCAAAAAGTACTCGTACTAATATTTTATTCAAAATGAACAGTCAATAATTTATTTTAAGTGAATAGTATAGTATTAGTTGAACTTCCTTGCTTCATTCATTTTAACGAAACGGCTAATCATTCAAACATTCAGTGTACCAAGTGATTTGGATCGATATATTTGTCTGAGATGAATTAAACCTAAATATAACCTTTATGTAATTATGATCAATTGAACGACATATCACTCTTTTCTTTAGAACCAACTCTAAATCTGAAGATTAAGTGCTCTGAATAGAATTTAAATTAGCTCTGTGTATTGATTCTTATCCGGTGTCACTGAAATGTGGAGTTCTGATACTTTTATGAATGAGATTTTCTAGATTTCAGGTAGCTTTATGTCTAGGCCCTTGCCTAATAATATTTAGATATTTCTGGACGACTATTGCTTTTCTATTATGGTCAGAGTCTTCTCTCTTACTAAACTTTTGGTACTACTTAGGTCTACCACATGTGCTTTATTTGGTCTATACTCCGCAACTTATATCTCTCTGTTGTTATTCTTTAAGTGACCTTAAGTTCTGTAGATGCTGTATACACAGCGGCTTTGGAGTTCTTGCAGATCTGTCTAAAACAGTCTGATCCTGGTCCTTGAGATGTAGACATTATTCATATTGTGTTTCTTTAAGAAGCGACTTATTTTATCTGCACATCCTTATATGCATACAGTAAAGACATATTGTTGCCAGATACTTCCGCCTTTTCTTGTTCTTAGTCCTGATTCCATCCATTTCCTGTGAGAGTTGTTCATAGATGATGCAATTCGTCGTCCAATTCTTCCAATTCGCAAGTAGGGCCTATTCAAGATTCTAAGCTATTAACGACACCTTTTCGAGACAGATGGTTGTAATAATGTTGACAAGATATCTATCCACGCGGATTGATTTCCCAAAATACTGCACCCTATGCTACTATCCGAATTCCTCTTAACAAATATATCTACGAACGAAGGTATAAATTTCTTCCAAGCCCATGGTCTAAGACGCCTGTACGTATTTCAATAATGCCAGGAAATATTCGTATTTTGTTATATTCAAAATGTCAGATGTTAAATGTACAGTCAACATACCTAACCTAAGACTTTGGTTTTACAGTTGCTGATACTTCTGGGATTTTTTTGCGAAGGCTTCCATGTAGACATTTGCTATAAATCAAATCAATCCTTTAATATTTTTTATAAAACTCCAGGGTTTTTTCTGACATTGTGTTTGCAATTTCCACTAGATCCTTAATTTTGTGTGACACGCAACACGCAACTGGTAGTTTACCCACCTGCAATTATCTTTTATCGGAATGGTACGTTCAGTTTGTGGACCTTTAGATGGCAATGATGGCAATTCAATTTTTTTTTACATCAATCCCTGTAGTACACCCTCCATTTTGGTGATATAATTTGTTGTGTCCAATTGCATTCATTCCAAACTATTGTTAATGTGGAAGATAGTGGTCTAATTGATTTCCTTCTGGAGGACAGTTGAGCTAGTACATCGAAATGGCTTTTTATTTGTAAAAATACCATTTGCAAAGGAAATACAAATTGAAATGGTCTGAGAACCTCATGTAATTTAAAATTAATTATAAATGTAACAAAACGTAGTCTTAAAACAAATAACCAGCAGAAACTCAGTGATTAATGTAAAAATTGAAAAAAAAATCAGAGTAGCAAAGAAGTGGCATATATGACCTTTTTCAACAAAATTAGGAGTGAAGCAAATATAATTGTTATAGCTAATAAAGAAAAAATAGAAAACGAGTCATTAAAGAACCTGTAAAATAATTCAACAAACAAATAAATTATTGTTACAGTCTAAAGATGTTATACTAAGAGAATATAAGGCTGCTTCAGATCCAGTCAAAGAAATCCATAACAAAGAAAAACTAGATAACTAGTTTCAGTGTAAACGGTAAGAGTATGTAACTTACGATATGTATCAGCAAAATGAGGAGCAGTATGATATTACGGTAGACCACTTATCTTACCCAAGATGTTCCTTTACTCGAAAGATAAGTAGACATTATCACTTGATCATATAAAACAAATACATATATTACTTTTAACTTGTATGATAAGTTGGTTCGTATTACTTTTATTACGGTTTTTGTAATAAAGAGAAATACTGCATTCACTAATTGCTGCCATAATTGTCCTTGTCTTAGCCTGTACAGTTATACTGTACAAATAATTGAAAGTACATGCGTGCAATAAGACTAAGAGTTGAAACTAATAATGAGAATAAAAAGTGAAACATATAACATCAAATTAATCAAATTTAAAATATAATCGTATTCATTAAGGAGTAAACAAAAATTATAAATCTAAAATGTCTTTAGTTTTTATGGAAGGATCTGGTTAAGTATAAATTCGTATATACAGAAAATATCTTCCTATTTGAAATTATTCTGTTTCTGCCATGATTATTTACATCCGTCCGTTGAAAATTAAGAAGGGCCAAAAATTTGCAATCATGGAGTCATGTATTGAATTTATTAAAAAATGTAGCTCTAAGAATGTCATTACAAATAGGATGTTTATGAAACATATCGATGAAAAGTGCACGAAACAAACTATTAATATAGCTGCTGTCGCAGATGCTCCTCTATTGCAGTACGTTAGTTTAATTTACCAAACGCGGATAATTACACCAGCCACGTTTGTAACAATTATGACTAATTGTGAGATGAATGTCACTAGCTTAAACGTCAACTAGGTTGAAAGTTTTCCGCGGATGAGTCTGGGTATACTCAATTAATGATAATGGACCGTAGGTTACATTAACGTCATCATCACTGCTATAGGCATTCACATACAGGTAGTAAGAATGCAGACTGCTATGGTCAAATATCAAATAATCGGAACTGCGCATTTAACAATCAATTGGAATAGTTTCGTGCTTCTGTTTGGATTTCATTTAACATTTTGGTGTAATGTGAAAGATATATTTAACAGTTCAACTCATCGAAGTTGTCATAAAAAAACTCCTTAAGATTTGTAGTTGTTACTTAGTAACCTTTAAAATAAAGCGCGTCTGTAAGAGTTTCATATGTTTCTGAATTGAATTGCTGTGTGTTAAAAGGAATTAACTCCAAAAAACCAAAATTTTGGGAAATTACAAAAAACTAAACTAGAGTTAGACTTGAATTTAGAATAAAATGTTATTGTGATAGATTGAAAGCAAATATATGTGGGATAATTTTCATATAATGTTTAATCTATTCTTTTATGTTTTTAAAATATATATTAAAAAACAGTAGTGGAGGTAGTTCCCTTTAAAACCTAACTGCTATTATTAAAAATAAACTTTAATAATTATTATTACTTTCGGAACAGGTTTATTAATGACAAAATACATTATTATTTTAACTAATTATCTAAATATTATCTTCTTCCAAATTTATAGGCCATGTAAGATGAGCTTCATAAAAAAGTTTATGCTGTTCATTTCGTTCTAAGATATATTTCAATAATTTCTTGACAGTATCGATTTTATGCTTATTTATAGGCACTTCGGGGCACTGGACGAAGTATCAAATACTAACACTGGTCTAAGCCCTGGTTGCCTCAAACGAAAAGTTACTAAGCCTCCTGCAGCTTCCAAGTTGCCATTTTGAAGATATTTAAACTCCATGAATGAGGCTCGAGCAAAATATTGTTTTTGTTGCCGCGGAACATTTTTCCCATAGGACTCTACTGACAACACGCTCTCGTGAGTTGTGTCGTAAAAGGAACTAACTCCAGGACTTAGTTCCTTTCACGACTCAGTCATATCAATCTACTGTAATTTTAAATGCACAGTTTATTGGGAGTTAGTTCTTTTCTTCACCACACGATGGGAAATATCGAAAAGTATCGTTTCACGTGTTTAACTGAATATAGCAGATTTTTGGAGTTAGTGCCTTTTAATACTCAGCAATTCAATTGTTTGGATAAAGAGTATAAGAAAAAAGTATTTAAAATTATGCATTTTAGGAATATTATAAGACTGTAACGTTTATGTTTGTAGCGGTTAGTTTTTTCAATAAGAACGGTGAATGTTTTAATACAAATAAAATGAAATCAAGGAAATACAATCCGGTGCTAATCGCATTGTTCGTTCAAGGACATCACAAAAAAATGCAGTATAGTTTTGTTCATTCCATAGTCCAGACGGTATCTGTTTCATGTTTGGGTGAATCGTATATCCACGGAGATGTTTGGCTTTTTGGCTTTCAAATATCACTAGAAATGAAAATTTTTCTATGCGCATAAAAAAAACGTGGGCTTAACTTTTGACGGCACAATATGTTAAAAAAAATCGAAAAATGTCATGTTTTTCTTCCTATTTAATTATGTATCTCTTCAAGAGTTAATTTTAGGCGAAAATGGAAGAGGAAAAAAATAAATGTATTTAAATTTTTAATAAAATGTGACTAGTTACAAATCGAATGAATCATGATTATTATTGTAAAAATCGAAAAAATCGCCAAAAATTTGGTTAAAAAACATTTTTTATGGAATTTTTTTGGGGTCTTTAAATTGGGTATAGGACCTTCATACTTGGCTGAAGAAAAGTTCATGTTATGTAGAATCATCACACCAAATTTCATCAAAATCGGTTCGATAGATTTTGCATAATAATTTTGCAATCCAGATTTAAAAAAATTACAAATTTTCAAAATTTTGCACAGCAAAAACCAAGGCTCTTAGATACTTCAAAATTTATTCACATATAAAGGGGCTCTCAAGCTTTCAAACGCTTTTCGAAAAAAATTCGAATCCGTTAATTAGGAGAGCTCTGGCGCTTGTTTAAACATTGGTCGAATTTTTCTACTATAATTTTGTAATTTTGTAATATAATGAGTTAACTTCTAAACAGTAAATAATATTTGAATCATACTTTAATCACAAAAGAAATGATGATC